ACAGTTGAAAGCTTTAAACTGGTAAGATTTTTTACGCTTATATAGGCTATATGCAGAAGGTTGAAGTCTAAGTTCAAGGGAACCTCCACAGGCGCATAACTTTTCTAGCTTCATAGACTATCAGTAGACATATGCAAACAAGGTCACCATCAAAAGATTGTTATATAATTTACCATGGTTGCCAACTTCTACTAACAAGAATATGACATGTATTATGGGCTTTTTAATTTTGAGAACGGCTATATCTTGGTTGTATTGTTTATTCACACACCTGCACAATTCATGCACATATTTTCTATGACCATGTCATATTTTCTATTTCTCTATGATTATATCATCTGTGAAATTTTGCTCATTACTTTGATTATTGTGGATTGGATTGGTGGTTATGTTCCTGGAGAATATTGGAAACTGTTACTAGTTCTATTGAATGGATTGATGGTTATATTCCTGGAGAATATTGGAAACTGTTACTAGTTCTATTGAAACATTCTCTATCCTAAAAGAAGAATTTTCCAACCTAGAATACAATACTGACATAAAACACAGTGGAAATTTGATGGAACACCAGATACTATATATCACCTTGATACTTCACAATGATACTTATTCCAAGCCTTCTGGAAACCAGATGTGCAAGTGTGTACTATTTATACATTTGAAGTAGAACTGTGTACGATCATATAATTAATATTATATACTGTGGTATAATTAAAGTACTGGAGATATATATTTCATTTCTGATTTGTATGTTCAGTATTATGTTACTCTTTGCCAAAATGCCAAGGTTATAAGGTGCTATACCACGCCTCATCAAATTTTTACATCAGGCACCCCAAGCAATTCTGTTCCTGCCCTTTCTTTTACCGACGGAGCGAACGCCTTGAGCAGGCGTTTTGTTTATATTATAAAAGCGGTCAATGAAAACGTTAAATTGAGAAGTACACAACATCGAGCCATGATATTCAGACAAGTAAAATATCGTTGTTTTGACCGCGTTTGATTTTTACTAATTTTAATTGTAAATTCACAAATTTCCCTTTGTTTCAGTACCGGTTTCACAGTTAACCCCTATCTTGAAATTTTTATATCACGTCCTTTTTATCTGTACGCTAGCTATCACTGATTGACTAGAAGCATGCGCTTACAAACTTCCAGTACGCGCACGCGATGGCAATATATCCGCATTCGCAGATACAAAAATGAAACTGTTCATGGCCAGAAATCACAATTAAAACTAGTTATTTGAATACGCATAAATTTTGCTTTTGCTGTACTTGATGAATTATATTTTCCGGAGTTGAAAAACGCAAAATCAAAGAGTAAAGTCATGGTCAAACGACAACCATTTCCACACCATTTCAAATGTAAGAAATTTGGCTTCTCTTCTGCATATTTTCAAATATATATATATATATATATATATATACAGGGTGTATCAAAATAAACGCAATTCATCTTTTGTGCTTAATAACTTTCGAAATACTATTTCTACTTAAACGCTTTTAGGCTTACTTCAAA